GCCATCCCGGAGGCTGCCAGCGCACGTCAAAGGACAGCTCATAGCAGAGGTCGTCCCTGCTAAGTCCGTCCTCAATGATCACAACAGATTCGCGGAAGCTCTCGAGGAGGTACTGTTTTCGGAGTCAGATTCTTGGACCTATGACGAGAAGACGAAAGACCAATTCGCGTACGATAACAGTGTCATGGAACAACAGATGAGGAAGTCGAGGGAGGCTTCCAGGCGGTCTTCCGAGGAGGAAATCTCGGTCGAAGACAAAGCCAGGAAGCGCATCAGGAGCGGTACCCACACGATGCCCACGTCGTCCGCGTCCCAGCTGGGTTCCATAGCGGAAAGTGTTGAGGGCTAAGCCGGATCCAATTCTCGACAGCGCTGTAATATCGGACTGCTTGGAGTCGAAACGTAGCGCGTAACATCGGTGGATGTGAGTGCATGTGTCGTCGAGAAGGTTCCTCCCGTAGTAGATGTGCTGCCAAATATTGTATTCTCGCCTCGAAGCCTCCACTCGAGCATTGTCATATTCACGGCCAATCAATCAATCTGATCCGCTTCACTTACTTATCGGTGGTATGATTTAGCGGCTTCCCTGGGAATTGTCCAATCCCGACTCTCCAAGCAATGCATCCTTTTAGATCTGTGGTCGTTCGCATGATGTGATGTGGGGCTTATAAAGGAGAAGACATTGATCGTCCCAAACACCATCCGCGAAAGGTCGGATACGGGCTTACTGAGCGCCTTGATCTGAAAGTGCACGTCGAGGCACGTCGGCAGGAGGATGCACACTGAGTGACTGACGCTCGTCGCTGAGCGGGCGCTTGCGCCACAACGATAGCACGTGATCGTGATCGGTGGTTGGTTCGATGTGGCTTGCGCGTGGCTTGCCGCCTTGTGGGTCCTGCATTGTTGCATTGTTCCACGAATTGGGAACAAGCCCACGCCCATATTTGGTAATTTGCTGCGTTGCCTCGCAGCTGACAGTTCAAATCCCGCAGAGCACCGCGTGGGCCACCAGTACCCTGCTTAAATATCCCCGTCTCGCCGTCAGATTCGGTACGTCCGCGCACTGGCAGAATGTCCCCGCTCGCGATTTCTGACTATGAGTTTAGTGACACCGGCTCGCGACCACCCTCCCCGGGATTCGCACCGCTGCACTCATCCCCTCGACCCCGTATCTCTCGGACGCAGGCTACAGCTCTCCCGGCGATATCCCCGAGGAGTCAGATTACGCCAGCGGCAGCGAAGGTATCGTAGGCGAACAAGAAGACGACGACGAGAACGATCCAGACGCAGCATCGCGTGTCAGTGATACATCAAACCAAGCCCCGCATCTTGACGGCTCCGCATTCGAGCCTGCACCTTTCGTCGTCTCGGACGCCCCAGAAGTATCACTCGTTACACGACCAGCCGCTCCAGGGACCGGTGTCGAAGGTGGAGGGACGCAAGTAGACGCCAGACCTGTAACGCCGCCAAAGAACCCGTCCAACGTGTCGCGTTTGGCTAAGGAGTCGAAGTCCACACCTATTGCCCACAAACCATCCACCGCACATTCCAACTCCTTACATCCAACCGGGGGCGCCGAGTTTATGCCCCAACTTCGTCGGGATTACGCATTTGAGATGGAGCACAAGATTGGCCAAGTTAGCCTCGAAACGTTTATGCAGACGTTTATGCCCGGAGCGGACCTTCCCCCCGATGTCGACGTGGATAACTTCGACCCCGTTCAGTTTCAGGGTAAAGAGTCCCCCATGTACGACGAGCTGGTTAGTGTTTCCAAATGATGACGTAGGATCATGGTAGACTGATTTTTGTTGGCAGTGCAAGGTGGCGAATTCGGTCTTCGAGAACGTCCCCCTCAGCGTGTTGAAGAACTTGAAGGGTGTCCGGAAGCTGGTAGCGAAGGACACGCACGCCTGGCCCGACCCTACGGACAAGGGCGACTTCGAGGAGAATATAAAGCCTGACGTGATTGTCTATCCCAACCACAACGACGCGCGCAACGCATTCACAATCAAGGCGTCAGCCCTCAAACGGAAGTCGGAGGAGGAGATCAGACACTGTCAAGAGATGGAGGCTAGGACGTCATGGATATGGGCGAGCCTCTGTATTGAGGCAAAGGTTGACACTAACGACTCTCCGTTCGTGGTGCCACTAACCATGCAGAGTGGTCGGGGCGGGAAGCCTGGAGCACGCACGGCGGTTACGCCTGATGAAGCAGGGTCGGGATCATCAGGTCGGGCGACAGCTGAGACCCCGTTGGCGACAGTCTCTGAGAGCGCTCCGGCGGCAGCTGAGACCCCGTTAGCGACAGTCTCTGGGAGCGCCCCGGCGGCATCGATGACTTCTGCCCCCGACGCTACTCCAGGGCCGAGCCGCACCTCCGCACCGCCTTTCCTCCGGGATCCGAATCACGCCAGCAACGGTCAGCAGACACTGGGGCAGATGTGTCAGTACGTATCGAAGATCCTACGAAGGCAGTTCCTGTCCTGCCTGTTCACGGTATTCACCTGCCGTGACCATGCATGGCTACTCTATTGGGACCGCGCGGGGCTCATTGTTTCGGAGCCGTTCAACTTCGTGCAACACCCACGCCTCTTACAGAACTTTTTCTATCGGTTCGCCTGTATGGACGTGATCAAGAGAGGCGGCGACCCGACGGTGACGCGGGCGACCAAGGACGAGGTTAAGCTCATGCACAGCCACGACAAATTCGACTCTGACTGGCACAGGACCAAGTTTAAGGCCACGTTGGCACCGCGCTGGCCGATCTACAGGGTCTCTGTTCCCGATGAACACATGATCTCGGCAGATGAGCTCAAGGAGGGCGAGGAAGCGCGGCGGGACGTTTCCCGGCCGGACAATGAACGCAAGCCGGAGCGGAAGTTCCTCGTCGGGAAACCATACTTCATGAGTAACTCGCCCACCGGAGGGGGAACGAGGGGATATATCGCATATGACGTCGCCGAACATCGACTGGTCTTCTTCAAGGAGTATTGGCGCGTGGACGAGCCGACATATCATCCGGAAGGGGATGTGTACCTGCGGTTGCATAATAAAGGGGTACAGTACATAGCAACCCCGATTGCTGCTGGCGACGTTTGCGATGGGACCGGCGAAGCTCGTTCTACTCGCGCGCAAGCGTTCCTCAAAGACCCGCCGCCCAAGCTCATCCAATATCGCATTTTCTTGAGGGAGATCGGTAAACCACTTAAAGAATATGAGGATTCTTACGACTTAGTACTCGCCATGTACTGCTGTTTGACGGGTTCGTCAATCGTTCATCTTTTCTCTGCTCTGTGCATGCTCATCTGTTCTTTCAGCTCATGAAGAAGCCTGGGAGAAGGCCCATGTCTTGCACCGCGACATAAGCAGCGGGAACCTGCTGCTAGTATGTACCGTGGCCGATGACGGCACCATCACTTGGATCGGTATGTTGGTCGACTGGGGCTTGTGCAAGTACAAGGAAGAGTTAGGACTGCGGAGTGTGCTGAAGACCCGTTCAGTGAGTCTACGCGAGTGCCTCAACGACTGAAGGTATCGCTGACTTTGTGTAGGGCACATGGCAGTTCATCTCCGCAGTCTTGCTGGCATTTCCGGGACACTTTGCGCACGCCGTGTGGCACGATCTCGAGTCGTTCATCCACGTCCTTCATTGGATGTGCCTGCGATTCCACGTCACGAACTATTCGAAGAACACGAAGATGTTGCACAAACACGTCAGCGCAGTCTACGACGCATCATTTCCGTCACCCGATGGTACTTCTGTTGGCGGAGAAGAGAAGCTGATGACGATGCGAGCAGGCACGGTGCCGTTCGAACTCGTCGGAGGATCTGCTGACAGGTCAACGCCGGGTTTGCACTGCCTCTTGACTGAACTCGCGGAGCTTTACAAGTCGCACTACAAGTGGCTGAAACCTCGGCTACCGGCGTCGCACCCGGACATCGTATCCTCCGTGGCGCCCTCCGTCGAGCCAAAGAAGCGCGCAGCACTTAGAAATCGGCAGGTTTCGGTTCCGGCTAGAGAGCTGACCCGGCCCATGTCTGGAACAGTGGTTGAAGAAGTACCGACGGAATCTGCTTTCGAGGATCACACGCAGATCAAGGCGGTGTTCGCGACGGCGGTGAGCGGTGAAGCCCAGTGGACGTATGATGACAAGACCGGGGACAACTTCGCCCACTTCAACACGCGCATGGATTCACAGGGCTGGGGGTCCAGGGAGTCTGTCAAGAGGTCTGCGGACAACTCTGTGGACGACAGACCTGACAAGCGTATCAGGAGTGACACTGGCAGCGTGCCTGTGTCGTCCACTTCGTTGTTGGGCTCGATAGCCGAGAGCGTCGAAGGCTGAGGTCGAACGGGGTCGCCTGTCGCAGAGAGGACTGATCTGTCGACGCTGACATTTGACGACCGTATGTACTCGTAAGTATCGTAACAATGTTCATCTGTCTGTGGATACGTAGGATTGCCATTCTTGTTAGTAGACCGTGTACCGTATACGTTCGGCAGCATGGACGTTCGTAATGTCAAATGTATGTGGTTCACGTGTACTGTGATAGTCGCAGCAGCTCCAAGATGCAGGTACTGCCAGGCCACGAACCCTCAAAACGCTCTAGAACAACAGGTATCACTCCCGCTTTCCCTAGTCTTACAACGTCCGCTTGCAGACAGTGGTGACCTTTGCTGAAGCAGACGCGCCTCGACGCGGCTTGGAATCGGCGCATCTCAATTCCCGGCGATCATAAAAGCATACCGCATACGAAGGACGGTACAAGAGCTGCATAGTACTAGGGTTACGTGGTCTCGTACCCATCCGTGTGGACGCACCCCACCACCGCTCCGACACGTCTGGGGCAGTTTGTGAGGGCGACCCCCCCTTTGAATAGACGCCCATGAAGCGCCGAAAGTAACAGTCACATCAGAGATTTAATCTGATGCCCCTGCCTAAAGGGGACGGTGGCTGAAGACCTGCGTCGCGCGCGCAAAGGCGCGAAGTTGAATGGCCCCGGAATAGTATAAGGATAGTGTTGTAGTTCTACTGTTTTCAAATTGGTATAAGGGACGACACTGGTTGGAAATATCTACGCGATGCCGAGAGATGCACACGAGAGCACGAGAGAGTGCAGCGCCGAGGAGAGTTCCGTGAGCTGCAGCAGGCGAGCTCCGTTAGTATGAACGATGGTAACTTACTCGAATAATTGAACCCAGAGCTGTGCAAAGAAATGTCGGCGCCTTCTTGCCTTCGCCCGCAGCGGCGGCGGTGAACATGCTCACGAGGTTGTCGTACCGCTCGCCAGCGGCGATCGAGTCCATGCCCACTGTCAATTCATCGATCTCGGCATCCTCGTCTTGCCCCGTCTGCGCCTTCTTCGTCTTCTTCGGCGCCTGCGTTGCAGAGGGCGCGGTGGACGCAGGCGCGTCTGCGAACACATTGGTGGCGTTGAATCCGGGCGGGCGGGCGCGGACACCTCGCCGATGGCCTCGTAGATGATGCCGGTGTAGTAGTCGAGGCCGCGCCCGAGGGACATATCAAACGAGAGGCAGTCGATCACCTTGTATGACCAGAATAGTACCCGTAGAGGATGGCCGTCTCGTTGATGCCGGCCTTGGCGCTCGCGTTCGTCAGGAGTGGTGTCAGCCATGAGCTGCTCGAGCCGCTCGGGCTCGCCCTTGCGCCTGACGTACTCGCCGATCTTGTCGTACACCTTCCCGACCTGCCACAGCTTCGCCTGCGCGCCATTCATCGCGAGATACCGTGCCAGCGGGACAGTGCGGTCGTATCTCAACGCGAGCTGCTCTCCTCCCTGATGACTGGTCCATCAAGTCGAAGATGAGCTTCGTGTCCTCGCCGTACTTGCCCGCGAGGATGTCTTTCCGCTCGAACACGGGTGTGCCGAGGCAACCGCCGCCATACGTCGTGAAGTCGTCCTTGACAATGCGCTCGATGTGCTCGCGGTAGTGCATCTCGTTCGAGCCATATTTCCGCGTGCCCTATGAACACAGCATTTGAATGAGCTTGAGTGCACTGCCAGTGCGAGGAACAGAGGTGATCGTGCGTACTAAGTTTGGTGCTTTCAGTAGGACTAGGGGACACTCCTTCTTGCTGCCTCCCCCGATCACATTCTGCAGGAGCGCGATATCTCTGGAGGTCAGCCAGCTTCTTTTTCGCCTCCTCAAGCAGCGCCACGTCCGCCTTTTGGTTCTGAGGTCTCAACAAGGCTTTCTGCTGCCACGCGACCTCGTCAGGCTGCATGACAGCGCTGATGTGAATCTATGAAATGTCCGTGGGGTCCGCTGCTGAGATGAATCAATGAGGGCAAGCTCAGGAAATGCCTGGTTTGACTCACTGCAAAGAATGCTCACCATACACATGAAGCTCGGCTTACTCTCGATGTCGCACTCCGTTGTGGTGCCCGAATTTCAGAAGACACCACGAAATCTCACGTTGCATGACTGGTAGTACTCACTCGTGATGATTATAACCAGCCTCTGCCAACATGAAGTTCGAAACAGGGCTAAGCTGACGTTCAAACACTACAGTATCAGTGAGAACACAAGTGCAGCAGTCACACACACAGCGCGGCGCGACGGAGGTCTTCGGCCACCGTCCCCTTTAGGCAGGGGCATCAGATTAAATCTCTGATGTGACCGTTACTATTCGGCGCTTCATGGGCGTCTATTCAAAGGGGGGGGTCGCCCTCACAAACTGCCCCAGACGTGTCGGAGCGGTGGTGGGGTGCGTCCACACGGATGGGTACGAGACCAGGGTTACGTTGAAGTTGCGGAGACCACATCACTTTGTACATCCTGAGAGCCTACACTTCAGCATGACGGCTGCCACCAGTGGCAGAACGAGAAAGGAATAAATACCAAAAGATCAAGCACATGCAGAAGGTCGAAGAGCAAATAGTATAAGTTAGTGATCAATCACGAAGGAGACGGGGACCCGATCGCGCGCAAGCACCCATGCGCGAACGCCCCCGCATCGCACGACGTCACGCTGAACAGCCCCCGAAGGTCCAGGTGGCCGACCCACCACAGCAGCGCGCGCGTCCCCAGCACCGCCGCCACCACGCCGAGGATCTCGACGTACGGGTTCGTCTGTCGAGCGAGCAGGCTCGTGAGCGCCTTGCGCAGACGATCGCGGGGGGCGACGAGACGTACCCATATCGATGCCCACGAGCTCCGCCTGGGCGCGGCATGCCTCCTGGGTGCCCGCGGCGGCGCTGCTGCCGTCGCAAACCCGTTCTGTCCCTGCGCCTGCGCTGCATTGAGCCTCGCCAGGAGCTCCCGACGCTCCTCCTCCACGAGCTTCATTGTCTCCTCATGCGCCGCCGACTGCGCCCGCTCCTCCTCTAGGGCAGCCACCCGCTCTAGGGCCTCGTGTAGGCTGTCCTCCGCGCGCGTACGGCCATCCCTGAGCGCGGTGCACTCCGCCTCACTGGCGACCGCACGCTCGTCTGACTGCTGCTTCGTCCGCCTCTCGGCCTCGGACGCGAGTTCCAGTTCCGCAAGTCTGCTTTGCAGGAATCCGACGAGTTCGTCTTGCACGCTGGCAGCTTCCTTCGCTTGCTGAGCTGCCACCACGACGTCAGCCAGCATTGTTCGAACTCGCCGAGACCTAGAACGCGTTTACCTCTTCCTCTAATGACCCGAGCTCCTCGCGCTTCTTCTCAATCGCCTCCTGAAGGCTCCTCATCTCGTCCCATGCTTCTTCCAGCTCGCGTCGCATAGCCTCCGGCTCGTGCTCAAGCACCGCGACCTCCCCCTCTTTGTTCCGCAGCGACGCGCGCGCCTCGTCAAGCTAGGGACCGTACATGTTAGCTCGCCTCGATCAGCACAGCAGTTCCACGAACCTGGCTCTGCATGTAACTCGGGTTAATCGCCATCGGCTCCTCTGCGAACACATCAACTTGAACGACCACCCAACCCAGACCACCAGGACGAACTCACCATTATGGTTCTTGCTCCCACTCGACACGCTCGCCACGCTGCCCTGCCGCCTCAGTATACCCCCCGGCCAGTGGCTTCAAGCTCAACGCCCGCTGTATAGCCAACTCTGTGTGCTGTACACCATGCGCCGCAAAGCAGCCCAAGATCTAGTGGATGGTTGATAAAAGCAGAATGGAATCACATACCGCGCTCTGGTGCTCGTTCAAGCACATGTGGTTGTTTGCCAATGAGAACAAGTATACTCTGTGCGCCGCAGGTGCATGTGCGGCATCATGACCATGCGCCCACGAGTTCTCGAGAATAGTGACACAGCTACGCACCACGTTGGAGTCCTGCAGAAAGCCAGAGCACTGAATGCTCCCCGCAAGCATCGGTAGCGTCCTGTTTCATGGGACCACATTCATCGGGTCAGTCTCAGTCCAGCGAGGCGGCCCAGTGAGGGCATCATCGCAGCTATGTAGTACCTTCACGGGCTGTGTTGCTGCAGCGAGAAACGGCAAAAGATGAGCAGAGGTTCACCGCCTCCATCCCAGAAGAGGACATGAAGAATCTGCGCAGCTTGAAGCGCGACAGTGTGGGCTGCGATTGGGCTGCGACACACCGCAGTGCGCACGGTCAGTGTCCAGAGTCCAGACTCAAAGCGCCCCAAAAGCGCCCGCGCAACAATGACCGCACGTGATCGCGATCGGTGGCTGGTTCGGTGTGGCTTCGCTCAAGCGCTCAAGCTTGGCTTATATTAGTAGCTCTGCGACAGACACTGGTGTGGCTCGAGTGTATGCTCAAGCTCAAGGTTCGTAAGGGTTACGCCTTTGATATGGAATGCAAGATCGCACAAGTTAGCCTGGAGACGTTCATCCAAGCGTTCGTGCCCGGAGCGGACCTTCCCCCCGATGTCGTCGTGGACACATTCGACCCCGCTTGCTTTGAGGGTAAAGAGTGGCCCATGTATGACGAGTTGGTCAGTGATTCCACCGTAGAATGGTGGTGGGCTGATTGTTGTTGGCAGTGCAAAGTGGCGAACTTGGTCTTCGACCACGTCCCCTTCAAAGACGGTGTCTCGAGGCTGGTAGCGAAGAACACGCACGCCTGGCCCGACCCTACGGACAAGCCCGACTTTGAGAAGAACACAAACCCTGACATAACTGTGTATCCCGAACACGACGACGCGAAGCGAGCATATACAATCGAGGCGTCAGCGCTCAAGGGGAAGTCGGAGCAGAGAATCAAGCACTGTGAAGAGAAGGAGGCTAGGACATCGTGGCTATGGGCAAGCCTCTTTATCGAAGCGAAGGCTGCCGCCAACGACTCTCCGTTTGTGGTGCCGCCAGCGATGAAGACTGGTAGGGCCGAGAAGACTGAAGCACGCACGACAGCTACGCCTGATGAGGCAGAGCCGGGATCATCAGGTCGGGCGACGGCTGAGACCGCCTCAGCAGCGTCGACGACGTTCACTCCTGCTACTCCAGAACCGAACAACACAGCCACACCGTCTTCCCTCCGTCAAGATGCCATCAGCAGTCAGCAGACAATGGGGCAGATGTGTCAGTACGTTTACAAGATCCTGCGAAGACAGTTCCTATCCTGTCTGTTCACGGTCTTCACCTGCCGTGACTATGCATGGCTACTCTACTGGGACCGGGCGGGGGTCATTGTTTCGGAGCCGTTCAACTTTGTGCAGCAGCCGCGCTTCTTACAGAACTTCTTCTATCGGTTCGCCTGTATGGATGTCATCCAGAGAGGCGGCGACCCGACGGTCGCTCGGGCGACCGAGGACGAGGTTGAGCTGATGCGCAGCCACGACAGGTTCGACTCTGACTGGCACAAGACCCAGTTCAAGGCCACGTTAGCACCAGGCTGGCCTATCTACAAGGTTTCCGTTCCGGACGAAGACATAATCTCGGCGGCTGAGCTCCAGACGGGCGTGAAAGCGCAGCGGGATGTTTCTCAGTCGAACAACGGACGCAAGCCCGAGCGGAAGTTCCTTGTCGGGAAGCCGTACTTCATGAGTGACTCGCCCATCGGAGGAGGAACGAGGGGATATATCGCGTATAACGTCGCCGAACATCGACTGGTCTTCTTCAAGGAGTATTGGCGCGTGGACGAGCCGACTTATCATCCGGAAGGAGAGGTTTACCTGGAGTTGCATAAGCACGGGGTGCAGTACATAGCAACCCCGATCGCTGCCGGCGACGTTTGCGGTGCGACCGGCGAAGCTCGTTCCACTCGTGCGCAAGCCTTCCTCGAAGGCTCGCCGCCCAAGCTCATCCAATATCGCATCATCTTGCTGGAGATCGGTAAACCGCTGAAAGAATACCAAACTTCTCGCGAGTTAGTACGCGCCACGTACTGCTGTTTGACAGGTTCGTCGATCGTTCACTTCAAATTTGCTCTGGGCAGATGCTCATGTGTGCTTCCAGCACATCAAGATGCCTGGGAGAAGGCCGGTGTCTTGCACCGCGACATAAGCAGCGGTAATCTGCTGCTGTTGTGTGTTATCCGCGATGACAAGATTGTGGGATGGATCGGTATGTTGGTCGACTGGGGTTTGTGCAAGTACAAGCATGAGTTAGAAATGCGGAGTGTGCGGAAGACCCGTTCAGTGAGTCTGCGAGGGCGTCAACGACGGTACATGTCGCTAATTTTGTGCAGGGCACATGGCAGTTCATCTCCGCAGTCTTGCTGGCATTCCCGGGACACTTCGCGCACGCAGTGTGGCACGATCTCGAGTCGTTCATTCACGTCCTCCATTGGATGTGTCTGCGATTCCACGTCACGAATTATTCGAAAAACACGGAGCAGTTGCACGAGCACGTCAGCGTAGTCTACGACGCGTCATTCCCGTCACCCGATGGTACTTCTGTTGGCGGAGAAGAGAAGCTGATGAGGATGCAAGCAGGAACGGTACCGTTCAAACTCGTCGGAGGATCTGCTGGCCGGTCCACGCCTGGTCTGCACCGGCTCTTGGCTGATCTCGCGGAGCTCTACGGGTCACACTACAAGTGGCTGGAGCCTCAGCTGCCGACGTCGCACCCGTACGTCCCATCCTCCGTGGCGCCCTCCGTCGACCCGGAGGAACTCGACCCGGAGCTCGATCTCATTCCGATTCCGGCTAAGGAGCTGACCACATCTCGACTACAATCAGCAGTGCAAGAAAGCCCAGCGATCTCAGTTCTTGAGGACCACGAGGAGATTAAGATGGCGTTCGAGAACGTGCTGCGCCCCGAGGAAGGCCCGTGGACTGCCGATCAAAAGATCGGGGACAACTTCGCCCACTTCGAGACGTCCATGGATCAACAGAGTTGGGATTCAAGGGAGTCCGTCAAGAGGTCTGCGGACAGTTCTGTGGACGACAGACCTAAGAAGCGCATTAGGAGCGACATCAGCAGCGTGTCTGTCTCGACCGCCCCGTTGTTGGGCTCGATAGTTGAGAACGTCGATGACTGAGGTTGAATGGCCGCTTTTCGCGTCGAGGACTGGGTTGTCAACTCGGATATCCGACGTCCGTGTGTACTCGTAAGTATCGTATCACTTTGTTTTGTCTGTCTGTGTATATGTACGATCGCCGTTGTTTGCCAACCGATTATTCAAACTTAGTAGATCATGTACCGTATATGTTCGACAGTAGTATGGACATGCGTAATGTCAAACGTATGTGATTCATGTGGTAGTCGCGCAGCCCCGAGACGACCGTATGTGGGCCATCAACGTTCAAACACTCCACGTCAACTACATTCTGAGGAGTATTTATTGTATCACACACCTTGCCTAATGGTCTCCCAAGCATCCACTCGCCAGCAATTCTCCTGGGCAGTTCGAGCTGGCGTTCGCATCTAGACAGTACCTCTGTTATAAATGATGCGCTTCGGAACCGGCATGAGATCGGTGCTGCACAACCCTCCGTTGTCATAAAAGCATACTGCATACGAGCGACGGATAAGGGCGGCATAGTACTGTATACAGGTTGCGGAGACTACACATCACTTGTACATCCTGAGAGCCTACACTTCAGCATGACGGCTGCCACCAGTGGCAGAACGAGAAAGGAACACCAAAAGATCAAGCACATGCAGAAGGTCGAAGGTCGAAAGGAAATAGGATAAGTTACTGATCAATCACGAAGGAGACGGCGACCCGATCGCGCGCAAGCACCCGTGCGCGAACGCCCCCGCATCGCACGACGTCACGCTGAACAGCTCGCGCAGGTCCAGGTGGCCGACCCACCACAGCAGCGCGCGCGTCCCCAGGACCGCCGCCACCACGCCGAGGATCTCGACGTACGGGTTCGTCTGTCGAGCGAGCAGGCCCGTGAGCGCCTTGCGCAGACGATCGCGGGGGGCGACGAGACGTACCCATATCGATGCCCACGAGTTCCGCCTCGGCGCGGCATGCCTCCTGGGTGCCCGCGGCGGCGCTGCTGCCGTCGCAAACCCGTTCTGTCCCTGCGCCTGCGCTGCATTGAGCCTCGCCAGGAGCTCCCGCCGCTCCTCCTCCACGAGCTTCATCGTCTCCTCATGCGCCGCCGACTGCGCCCGCTCCTCCTCCAGGGCAGCCACCCGCTCTAGGGCCTCATGTAGGCTGTCCTCCGCGCGCGTACGGCCATCCCGTGCCTCGCGCAGGGCCCCCTCCAGCTCCGCCACCTTTGCGGCGCGCTCGCGTTTGTGCGCGTCCAACTCAGCGACGCGTGCGAGGATCTGGCTGTTCCGCGTCTGCGCTTCGCCGAGCTCCCTCTCCTTCTTGTTCATCTCCGCCTCGAGGCGGACCCTGTGCTCCCTGAGCGCGGCGCAGTCCGCCTCACTCGCGGCCGCACGGTCGTCCGACTGCTGCTTCGCGAGCCTCTCAGCTTCCGCGGAGAGCTCCACCTCTGCGAGTCTGCCTTGCAGGAAGCCGACGAGCTCGTCTTGCACGTTGGCCGCTTCCTTCGCTTGCTTGAGCTGCGACCACGACGTCAATCAGCATTGTTCAATTCGCTGAGTCCCAGAAACCGCTTACCTCTTCCCGGATAGCCAGCGCGGTATGAACCTCCTCTAATGACCCGAGCTCCTCGCGCTTCTCCTCAATCGCCTCCTGCAGGCTCTTCATCTCGTCCTGCGCTTCTTCCAGCTCGCGTCGTATAGCCTCACGTTCGTGCTCGAGCACAGCGACCTCGCCCTCCTTGCTCCGCAGCGACGCGCGCGCCTCGTCAAGCTGGAATCCGCCCATGTTAGTCCAATTGTACTTTCAGAGCGTGATGTAGCACAACACACCTGGCTCTGCACGTAACTCGAGTTAATCGTCATCGGCTCCTCTGCGAACACATCCCGTCAACGACCATCCAATCCAGACCTCCAGGACGGACTCACCATTATGGCTCTTGCTCCCGCTGGACACGCTCGCCACGCTACCATGCCGCCTGAGTATATCCCCCCGGCCGCTTCAAGCTCAACAACCGCGTCCGCTTCTTCACGCCCGCGCCCGCGGCGAAACTCGCTTCCTCGCCAGGCATCGCGCGCGACTCGATCGACGTCACGCTCTTCACGTCCGCTCCGCATTCCACCAACGTCCGCGGGTCCAACGGCGTCATCGATAACGCCTGCTCGTTCGCCGGCTTGGTTTCAGCCCAAGTTGCAGGCGGCATCCCCGTCGCGTTTGCGATAGAAGCCACGCTGTCCGGAAGGCGCCCCAGCGTCAGCGACAACTGGCGCGAGCGCGGTTTCGCCGCTGCCTCGCGACGCCGAATCAGATCCTGCGGTCCTCTCCGCACGACTCGCTACAACTCGGCCCCTTCGTGACCGCCTGTGTGTTCGTGTGGAGCTCACTGGACATGTTGAAGACCCCTGGTTAGTCATGGCGTGTATACTGCACCGAGAAGTGGTCGATCGGTCCTCTCCATGGTAAGTTACCGGTAAATGCACATGGCCAACTCTGTGTGCTGTAGACCATGCGCTCGCGAAGCAACCCAAGATCTAGTGGATGGCTGACAAAAGCAGAATGGATTCGCGCACTGCGCTCCGGTGCTCGTTCATGCACATGTACTTACTTGTTTGGCGATGAACATAGAGTCTGTGCGCAGGTGCATGTGCGGCATCATGATCATGCGCCCACGAGTTCTCGAGGATAGTCACACAGCTACGCACCACATTGGAATCCTGCGGAACGCCAGAGCGCTGAATGCTCCCCGCAAGCGTCGGTAGTGTGGGCCTATTTCATGGCACCGCACTCATCGGGTCAGTCTCAGTCCAGCGAACCTGAGGGCATCATCGCAGCTACCTTCACAGGCTGTGTTGCCGCAGCGAGAAAGGGCAAAAGATGAGCAGAGGTTCACCGGCTCCATCCCAGAAGAGGTCATGAAGAATCTGCGCAGCTTGAAGCGCGACTATGATCAATGAGTATAGGTATGTGGGCTGCGACACAGTGACGTCCGCCGTTCGCCGTTCTTCATCCGTTAACGTCACGGTTTCTCAGGACTCTCCACCGGCATCGAAATGTCATAACAATCAACACACTCTGTAGTGCAGGTAACTCGCCGATCCGGCACGAAGGGGTTTCCACGACAAAAGCCATCAGTAAAGACAGCACGGTGTATGGCGAACTGGTAAGTGAGAGGGCAACGAGGCACAAGCTGAATGGGCTGACGATCGTTCGAAGTGTAAGGCGGAACCGCGTCCCCGACGAGGCAGGCGGTCAGAGGCTTGTAGCCAAGGACACGCACCGCTGGGGTGATCTTATGTAAATGCGAAACTGATGCTAAGGCAAGAACGTCTCCTGGCGTGATCGTTAATCCCATCGACGAGGACGCAATCAAGGCGTATACAGTCGAGGCAGCGATGCCTAATCAGAGGCGGCCACGCAAGAGGAAACGCTGCGAGGCAACTGAAGCAAGGGCTGCGTGGCTCTGGGCGTCCCTGTTGCTACATGCAAAGGTCGAATCTCCGTTCGCGATACCTGACTCGGCGCAGGAGGCGAGTTTTCAGACGACTTCAACGCATGGCATACTTACCTTCGTAACACTGCCATTTGCGGACCCAACTACGGTGACAGCCAGTGCCGGCGCCGCGGCACCTTTCGCCTTCATTCCTGGGTCTTAAGACGATAGGCGGTTAGACAGGCCAAACCACGGACTGCGTGCGATGTATATACTCACAGAAGCCCTAGGCATCGCAAACGGTAGTATCAGGTTGTGTTCGCAATGCTACTGTTTCCTTGTCATCCATCTTCCACGTCCGATCGCAGGCCGTAGACTGAGTGCTGAGCGCTGAGCCGCGACTATGGGACGCTCCGCCTGGCTTGTTAAACCCGTAATTTCCTGTACGTTGCCTTGGGAAGTGCTCACATTGCACGGCAAGTCGACGGTAGACATCTGAAAGTCGTGGTTGATTTATCAATATTCTGCAAGGGCCCAGTCAGAGCAATAGATGTCGGCGGTAACTTAGGGCCAGTCAAGCAGCTCGCACACACGACTCTTATATGTGCAGGTGGAGTTGGCCTTGATGCATTGATGAGCGAATGACGTAGAGCATGCCCCGAGAAGACCAGAGATTTATGGGAGAACATAGTATGAGCTGAGCGCGGCACCGTGGCATCGAGTCAACGGCCGGCGGAAGCCTGGTGGGTATGCCTCCCAATCGTCCTCGATGTATTCAAGAACCTCGTCAAGCCATCATCCTCTGAGATACAGACTGAGGCAGTTCCCGAGGACGCCTCCGAGTCATGCACGCATGATCTCTCAGCCTAGATGGCACTATGCCCTCGATGTGGACCCTGTACGGCTGAACTCCTCTGGCACCGTCCAGAGGCGCGGTATTTTGCTTGAGTCGTATGAAATTTAGTACCGATGTGACAGTCTCTCAAGCATAGAGCTGATGGCCTGCAGTGATAATGGCCATGCGCAACTCCCTGCCATTCCGGCAAATGCCGTTGACCGGCGCTCAGGAGAGCGGCGCCGCGAAAATGGCAAGCGAGTTTTGAGCTTTCACACTTCAGAGAAAAGGAATCGGGTGTCAGGAGGGGCTAAGGAATATGTTTACGAAGAGTCGTAGGAAAGCGAATATATCAAATCAAGCCCTTGATGTATTAATCTCGTGCAGAAGCCATACTTCCGAGCCGAGAACGCGTGTTTTTGTTTCCTACGTTTGTAGGTCTGGTCTCAGAGAATCCAACCGTATATTTTATGAGGCGAGTGTAGCAGCCCATCTGTTGGAAGTTGCCTCGTGAGTTCGAGGGCAAGACGGCGCGGGGCGCGTCAAGCGCCCGCTAGACGCGTCTGTGGCGGTCGACCGCGACGTGTCTCGTCAGCTCTCGTCAGGCCCGACGCGAAACGCGAAGCGTTTCGGGGGCTGCCTGTCAGCAGCATCTATTATGCTTACCCTCCTTACATCTCCCGCCCAATCCTTTTGCTCACCGTCATGTTTCCCCAGTGGCAGCCCTCTGAATCCATGTTTCATGGAATCTGGGATACCCCCGAGTCTTGGAGACAATATCTAACACCCTATAGTTTCTGACCAATTCCTACCTACTTCTACATTACCAGATCTACTTATACTATCCTCTGATGATCCTAGCATGTGCCATAACGAGACTGACACAGATTACGAGTACGAGGAGGATGAGCTCTTCTGCTCTTGGTAGTCTATCTTATACCTCGTTGCTGATACACCATATAGTTGCACAATATTTGTAGGCACTGCTCCTATAGTACATTTACATATTTCCCGTGCTCTAGCGCACCTATTCAGGCTGTGTAGCACGCCCAATGTGCTTTGCCATTCAACGGAGAGGGTTTTCGCCCAATATAGCAATATATGGTCATGTGACCATGCCCAACGCCCTGGCGGGCGTTGCGCATGGCCAGTGATAATAAACTAGTAGGCGGTGACGTTCGCGTGGTTAATTTGGATCGTACTGGGCCAGGCCTAGGGCCCGGAGTCGCTGAATGCTGAGCGCTAAGGGCTTCGGAGGTCCACAGCGCCTGCGCCACAATGGCAGCACGTGATCGTGATCGGTGGTTGGTTCGATGTGGCTTGCGCGTGGCTTGCCGCCTTGTGGGTCCTGCATTGTTGCATTGTTCCACGAATTGGGAACAAGCACACGCCTATATTTGGTAATTTGCTGCGTTGCCTCGCAGCTAACAGTTCAGACCCCGCAGAGCACCGCGTGGGCCACCAGTACCCTGCTTAAATATCCCCGTCTCGCCGTCAGACTCGGTACGTCCGCGCACTGGCAGAATGTCCCCGCTCGCGATCTCTGACTACGAGTCTAGTGACGCCGGCTCGCGATCACCCTCCCCGGGATCCGCACCGCTACACTCATCCCCCTCGACCCCGTATTTCTCGGACGCAGGCTACAGCTCTCCCGGCGACATCCCCGAGGAGTCAGACTACGCCAGCGGCAGCGAAGGCATCGTAGGCGAACAAGAAGAAGACGACGAGAACGATCCAGACGCAGCATCGCGTGTCAGTGATACATCAAACCAAGCCCCGCATCTTGACGGCTCCGCATTCGAGCCTCCACCTTTCGTCGTCTCGGACGCCCCAGAAGTATCTCTCGTTGCACGACCAGCCGCTCCAGGGACCGGTGTCGAAGGCGGAGGGGCGCCAGTAGACACAAGATCTGTGACTCCGCCAAACGACCCGACCAACGCGTCGCACTTGGCTGACGTGTCGGGATCCACGCCTGTTGCCCACAAATCATCCACCGCACGCCCCAACTCCTTACATCCAATTGGGGGCACCGAGTTTATGCCCAAGATTCGTCGTGATAACGCCTTCGAGATGGAGCGCAGGATTGTACAGGTTAGCCTGGAGACGTTTATGCAGACGTTCGTGCCCGGAGCGGACCTTCCCCCCGATGCTGTCGTGGAGGACTTCGACCCCGTTCAATTTAAGGGTAAAGAGGAACCCATGTACGACGAGCTGGTCAGTGTTTTCAGCGGATGGCGTAGGATCATGGCGGACTGATTGTTGTTGGCAGTGCAAGGTGGCGAACTCGGTCTTCGACCACGTCCCCATCAAAGCCGGTGTCCCGAGGCTGGTAGCGAAGAACACGAGCGTCTGGCCCGATCCTACGGACAAGGGCGACTTTGAGGAGAACACGAAGCCTGACGTGACCGTCTATCCCGAACACGACGACGCGAAGCGCGCATATACGATCGAGGCGTCAGCACTCAGGGGGAAGTCGGCGAACAGAACCAAACACTGTCGAGAGAAGGAGGCTAGGACGTCGTGGTTGTGGGCAAGCCTTTGTATCGAAGCGAAGGTTCACACAACCGACTCTCCGTTCGAGGTGCCGGCAGCCAAGAAGAGTGGTAGGGCCGGGAAGACCGGAGCACGTACGGGAGCTACGCCTGACGAAGCAGGGTCGGGACGATCAGGCCGGGCGAAGGTTTCTACCCCGTCGGCGACTGTCTCTGAGTCTGTCCCAGCAGCATCGTCGGCTTCTACCCCGGGCCCCGCTGCTCCGGGGGCGAGCAGCACCGCCGCGCCGTCTTTCCTGTGTCTGGACAATGAGGGCGCCAGGCAGACAATGGGCCAGATGTGTCAGCAAGTCTCGAAGATCCTGCGAAGGCAGTTCCTGTCCTGCCTGTTCACGGTATTTACCTGTCGTGACTATGCGTGGCTACTCTACTGGGACCGCGCGGGGCTCGTTGTTTCGAAGCCGTTCAACTTCGTGCAGCAGCCACGCCTCTTCCACAACTTCTTCTATCGGTTTGCCTGTATGACCGACATGCAGAGAGGCTTCGACCCGACGGTGACGCGGGCGACCGAGGAGGACGTTGAGCTGATGCGCAGCCACAACAAGTTCGACACTGACTGGCACGAGGCCCAGTTTAAGGCCTCGTTGGCACCGGGCTGGCCGATCTACGAGGTCTCCGTTCCTGAAAAACACATGATCTCGGCAGATGAGCTTGAGGCGGGCGAGAAAGCGCAGCGGGACGTTTCCCGGCCGGACAATGAACGCAAGCCTGAGCGGAAGTTCCTCGTCGGGAAGCCGTACTTCATGAGTAGCTCGCCCACCGGAGGAGGAACCAGGGGATATATCGCGTATGACGTCGCCGAACATCGACTGGTCTTCTTCAAGGAGTATTGGCGCGTGGACGAGCCGACCTATCATCCGGAAGGGGATGTTTACCTGCGGTTGCATAAACATAAGGTGAAGTACATAGCGACCCCAGTCGCCGCGGGCGACGTTCGCGATGCGACCGGCGAAGCTCGCTCTACTCGCGCGCAAGACTTCCTCGAAGACTCGCCGCCCAAGCTCATCCAGTATCGCATCTTCTTGGAAGAGATCGGTAAACCGCTCAAAGAATACAGGACTTCTCGCGAGTTAGCGGCCGCTATGTACTGCTGTTTGACAGGTTCGTCGATCACTGACTTCATATCTGGTCTGGGCAGATGCTCATCTGTTCTGTCAGCGCATCAACAAGCCTGGGAAAACGCCGAAGTCTTGCACCGTGACATAAGCAGCGAGAATCTGCTGCTACTCTGTGTTATCCACAAAGGCAAGGTTGTGGGATGGATCGGTATATTGGTCGACTGGGGTTTGTGCAAGTACAAGGATGAGTTAGTGATACGGAGTGTGTTGAAGACCCGTTCAGTGAGTCTCTGCGAGGGCGTTAACGACTGTACATTTTGCTGATTTTCTGTAGGGCACATGGCAGTTCATCTCCGCTGTCTTGCTGGCATTCCCGGGACACTTTACGCACGCAGTGTGGCACGATCTCGAGTCGTTCATTCACG